GAAACCCTGTGGGACAGCTCTGCTCTGTCCTGTGGGGTCTCTGGGAGAGAAAGTCCACTCAGTGGAAACAGAAACATGTTGGCACACTACTGAGGATCTCCAGCTCCTTCTAATTCTCCTCATAGAACCTGGAATTTTCCTAAGAATATTCTAGAAAACCATTTCCCAAATAAAGCAAATAATTTGATAAGGGAAGTTCATCCTGATTTCATGTTTCCTGGTTAGTATTTACACATGATTGAATCCTGGTGGGGCGCTGTGAGTTAATACACTGGACTAAAAAGTTGGTTTGAACTCCATGGTCAGTGGTTCAAGTTCACCAGCCACTCCTTGAAAACCCTATACAGGGTTGCTATGGGTCAGAACCAACTGAACAGCACTTAACAACAGCAACAACAAAACATTTAAGGGAGCAGAAAGTCTCACCATGAAGGTTTACAGCCTCAGATTTATAGGGTTCTTAGAAGTTGTAATTGACTTAAACACACCTAACAACAACTACAATATACACATTAGTGACTTATTTCAAATATCTCATGATAGTGGTTATTAACTAATATAAGACTAAGACCCTAACCTAAATTTAAAAAATATATATATATTGCTATTGTCAAGTGCCGTTGAGTCGGTTTTGACTCATAGTGATCCAGTGTAGGGTTTCTGAGGAACAGTTGGTGGATTTGAACTGCTGACCTTGTGGTTTGCAGTCCATGGCTGATCCTACAGTGGCAAACCAGGAGTATAAACACATCTTGAGTATCAAATCAGCAAATTATGTTACCAGATAAAACAGATATAATAGTTATATTACTAAGTTTGCAAGAAACTAAAGAAAAATTGAATGAAAAGTAACTTTAAAAGGAACTATGTTCCAAACTCCATAGAGACACCCACAGAAACATAAGTATCTCTATGTCAGAGGGACTGAAGCGTGGCAACAGTTGTGAGGTTGGCCCAGGACCGGGCAGTGTTTTGTTCTATTGTGTACAGCAGTGTCACTATGAGTCAGTACCAACTCAACGGCAACTAACAACAACAACGTCCAATTTGATTTCTGGTGTGGAGCTGTAGGATGAGTACTGGAGTGTGAACCACAAGGTCACACAGCTTACTAGCTGCTCCTCAGAAACCCTATATAGGGTTTCTATGATTCCGAATTGACTCAACAGCACTTAACAACAGCAACAACAATGTCAAATTTAATTGATTCAAAGTGTGTGTTTTTTAACTTCTTTTTTTTTCCTGAAGAATTCATTTGGTTGATATTTGATTTGATTTTCACTATGAAAACGTTTTAACTTCCCAAATCAACACTGAAAACACAATATGAGAGAAATATCTGCACATTTTACAAGTGGTATGTTTTTGAGCACTTTTGAAATACTAAAACATTTCCAGAATGTCATTATATTGCTCATTTATGAGTTTGTTATTATGTTACTGTGGAGTCAATTGTCAATACAGACTCACAGTGACCCCAGTGACCCAGAGTATGCAGAGGTTTTCAAGGCTGTGACCTCTCCTCTCGGAAGCAGATCACTCAGGCCTGTTTTCAATCCACTAACCTTTTGGTTAGTAGTGAAGCACTTAATAGTTTGTGCCACCCAGGGACTCCTTTAAAATTCCCAGAAAGTAAACTGGCATTTTGCTATTTAAATCATATAGATCAATCCTAATTAGCTATTAAAGCAAAACTTAGGGAAGTTAGACTCATCACACAAAGTTAAAATTGAGACTCATTTTCTTCAATGAGACTATCTATATATTAACAACATAGTGTGATGTTCTTTGTGTAGACCCAGACATCTCATACACACAAAGAGCTAAAGATTGATTGGAGTCACTAAGTTTTGCAAATGGTTAATGCTCTGCTGTTACCAGATTGGTTGGAAGTCTGAGTACGTACAGTCTGGAAGGAAGGTCTGGATGGAGATCTACTTCCTAAAAGTCTGCCATTGAAAACCCTATGTAACACAGTTCTACTCTGACATGCAGAAGGCTGCCATGAACCAGAGCCCACTCAGTGGCAGCTTTTTTTTTTTTTTTTTTAAGTTTGATAACCAACAAGTGTCTAAATAGGAAAGCATGGATAGCAAATCCATCAGCCATTTCTATGTGCACACTGACCTATGTAGATTATCAGTGCTCATTACTAAATGGAATTACATTTGGCAGTTTACCTATGTGTCAGTTTACCCTTCAGGAAGCAAAGCTCAAAACTCCCATAACCACTTTCATGCACTATCTCTATAATCAAAACACCGATATTTACAAGACTGAAAATCAGTCCCCTTTCACAGTAAATAGATAAATATGTTCCTAATAATTTGAGTCCTGGTGTGGTGCTATGGGTTAATATGCTGGACTGCAAGGTCAGTTTGAACCCCAAGATTGGTGGTTCATATCATACCAGTCTCTCCATGGAAACCCTATGCCAGGTCTCTATGAGACAGAACCTACTTGACAACAACTGCAACCCACTAATAGGATGATTTTTCTATTTACTTTTGATGCACGAAATTCTGACCAAAATATATCTACCACCTCTTACTATTCTTATGGGACAGTTTCCTCATATAACTTGAATCTTAATTGCAAGATCTTTTAAGAGTAGGATGAAACATTTAGACTGCATTCAAATAAATTTTTTTGATGTGACTGTCTTAACTATTACTCAAAATCTCCATTTTTGTTTTCAAAGATTTATTTTTCACAGTGAAAGACTTTTTTTTAAGTGGTTAATTTGCATCACCAAGAAATAATATCAGGATATACTTTACCATATACATATATACATACTTAAGTTAGAATTATTAGTTCAAATCATTTTGTTTCCTTAAGAATACCTTATATTTGTGTAAGTATAGTCGCCTTTTTTGGTCTCTATTTATAAAACGTGTTCATGGTGGCATTGAGACATCCAGAGCCAGACCTTTTAAGGGGATTATTTCACTTCTTGGATAATTAAAGTAATTTAGCCTTTGGTGTTGAGGCTATGAATAGCACTTGAGGGATGAGGCATGTAATAATTACCCAGAAAACCACTTATATGTATTATGGCTCAGTTATAGCATGCATTTAGAATGGCAGCAGACCAAATCAATATTGAAAACCAGAGCACACATTATAGTAAATATTCTTACTATCCAAAAACAAAAGACTTCTAATTCCATATAAAAATGACTTT